AGTGGCAAAAAGGTTCCATCGCTAAATTCGGTGACTGGATTCTTTCAATACCAGCTGGGTAAGTGGTGCAATTTGAAACACTGACAACCCTTGCAAGTGGGGTACGCAATGGCATGCAATGTGTGAAAACTGAAAAGTATTTGTGTCTTGTGATCTTGGAGAGATATGTGATCTAAGGATAATTCAGATTGTTTTGACAATTGAAAAGAATGCCCTCTTCTCCATGGAATTTATAAAAAGTACATGCTAAATTCCCATGGTTTTGTAAAAATGAAATCACTTTTCTATTTTATATGGGTCTTGGATCTCTAAATAGTATATTTCAGTCTATTTATTTTACACTTTTAAATAATAAGTACTAAAAAGAAGGACATTATTGAAAACAGCTATTTTTGAGTTGGTAAGGTATATGAGCAAACAGATTTTTACTTTGGGAGAGATCACATAAAAGAATATTTCTCTTATTGGCTGATCTAAACTGACTGCATACTGTATGTCAGCTACTAGTAGCTAGGCATTTAGAGCAGGTGTTTCGCCTGATTTTCAGTATATTGTCAGGACAGTCAGTAAACCATGTGGATGTTCTGCCTGGGGAGGGACCCCTTTTGTTTTATTTATTTTATATGAAAGTTGAATTTTGATTGTCCAGTTCTCATTCTGATCTGACACACTATTATAAATGGAGTTACTCTGAATAAACAGTAAATTAAATAACTACTGGAGATTATTTTTTTTCTCCCTGGGCATGTATATGCAGGAATGAAAAATCTTGACATGACCACATCTGGTCTGGGTCGACTGGCTCAGGCTTGCGCTCCACAGTCAAAAATCTCTGTGCTGATGCTCAGGCTGGGGACTGTGCTCTGGGACTCTCCCCCATAACTCCTCCAGGCTCCAGCCCAAGCCTGCATGTCTATACAACAATTTTTCAGTCCCACGGCTCAAGACCCATGAACCCAACTCAGTTGACCTGGGTTAGACATGGAGATTTTATCCCTCTGTAGACATAGTCTCTGTGTCTAAGTTCCAATTTCTACCTATTCAGGTTGAATTGTACTTTTCTCTGCAAGTAGTTCTACTGAAAGTAATGAGGTTGCTTACATGAGCAAATGCTCATCGATGCCAAGTTTGGCCTTGTATGCCTTACTGCACATCACGCATGAAACACCCTATATACATTGCTTACAAAAAGAACTACTCTGCAATATAGTCATGGTACACAACTAAGGGTGCATCTACACAGCACCCTAAACTCGAAATAAGATACGCAAATTACATGTCTTATTTCAATTGTATTTCAAAATTTGGCATGTCTACACAGCACCAGATATTGAAATAATGTGCTAATTCGAAACATCCCTTAACCTTCATGGAACAAGGGCTACAGGGATGCTGAAATAGCGTGTACACTATTTTGAGACCTATCTTGAAATAGCGGGCACTTTCAAAAGACGGGGGGTAGCTATTTCGGGATAATTTTGGTATCCTGAAATAGCGCTGCTGTGTAGACAGACCATAACTGAATGATTAATTTTTATCTAGACTCATTTTTATATGTATTATGATCAGCTAGAGTCAAAATATTTTAGGATGATAATTACTATTGCACATCAAAATTCCTTTTTCTAAGATATACAGATTTATGAAAAAATATATATAACTTCATAACAGCAACTGTTTCATGGCAGGTGCAGTTTTTGCACTTTAAAATTAATTCAATTTTGAGAGGACTCCTCTAGCAGTTTGAATGATATTCGTTATACCAGTGGAAGCAATAGAATTTCTAAAATTGCATGAACTTTACAAGGATAACCTGGGTCAGACTCACCAACCATAGTTAAGATTAACAAAATTAAGAGTGAAAAGTAATTTGAAAGTTTAGTTTAAAATAATTTCCCCAATCCAGTTCATAGCTCCATAAATGTATAGAAGAGGATAAATACTATTTAAAAATAAATTATAAAAAGTTCACCATTTTTCATGATGAATTTATCTCAGTAGTATATGTAATGGCATATCATCAAGTATTTTCTCTTTCACTGTCCTTCCTTGTGTATATGTTAACCATTTAAAACATCTGTGCTGCTATTAATAAAAAAAAACAAAACCCCAAACCTTCATTCTGACAGTCTACACTATTACGGTCACCACTTTTATAAGATTGTACTAAATTTTGTACAAAGTATGCTTTGTGATGTATCTTTTGAAAATTCACAGTCTGCTGAGCATTATTGTCCTGATAAAATGTGTATCAACATTGGTATATGAAGTTTTAAGTTGCTACTTTATAACATTGCTGTAATCCATTCTGCAGTTAGAAAGACAGTGGAAAGATATGTTTTTGGAGTACTTAGTAGAATGATCACAGTGCAAAGAGAAATGAGGAGGCATTTTATGACTAATATCATTTAATGCCTTTAATCTCTCAATCTCAAAGCACATTAGAAAGGTGCCATTCTTCCTACCATTTGTACAGATCAAGAGAACTCACATGACATTCTCAAGGTCATGCAGCAAATCGGTAGCAGAGACAAAAAATAGAATCCAGGTTTTCTGCCTCAAGACCTTTGTCATCAGGTGAACCGTAGTGCATTGTTATTTAACAGGAAGGAAGGAAGGAAGCTTCAGCGAATATTGGATTTTCTGTAGTATAGGACAAGGGCAATGATCAAAACTATTCAGTGGAGATAAAAAAATCACATTTTTGGTGTCATGGGTATTTCTTTAAAAAAAAAAGTTTATGTATTTCACTCCAGAGGTACACAATTCTTTTGTGTGCCAAAAGTCACTAATCACAAGAGAAGTTATGGCTTTTGAACCCTATGATTTGTTGTAGTTGTAACCCCAGCGTAGGTTAAAACAATTCAGGAATTGGTTTTACTTGTATCAGCTGGCAGCAATCTTGATGGGACCAGCTGAGAATGGGCAGAGCTCATTTAAATGCCAGACATACCCTTTAAGCCAGTGATAGGAGTGAGAGTGCTGTAGAAACTGGATATGCCAGTATCTCCTGCTTGCTAGGGTGTATAGTCAGCTCGCCAGATATGCATAGGTTCTATCCCAAATTTCCAATCTTATTTTACTATATAGGCTAAAAGGTTAGGCTGCTAAATCCATAGTTAGTCATCTAAATAAAAGTGGCCTGGTTTTCATAGATGTACAAGGCAGTGGACTTTGTGAGTGTTCAGCATATTAGAAAATCAGGCCCCCTTTTCAATAACATGGATTCAGGAGTCTAACTTTAGGAACGTGATTTGAAAATTGTGGCTCAAGTTTTTTGTATAATTTCTCAAAACACAAAGAAAGTATAATACCTAAGCATTGCTGTGAAGCACAACTAATTAACAAAGTTCAGGGCAATACTCAGTTGTTTGTCACAAGGGAATTACAGGAGAATTAACTGATTTACATGAAAAAATTAAATTTTTGGAGCTGTTGCATATTATGTATGAATATTATCCCCCACTCTTATATAACTCTCAGGCAATCTTTATCAATGTCTAATCACATTGGTTCCATTTTTTTCCAGATGAGCAAGAGGCAGTGCAAAAGAGGACTTTCACAAAATGGATCAACACTCATCTGGCCAAGGTAATAAACATCTTTAGAAGATCTCTTATTTAATTCAAGTCCTCTGCAGGTAATTAGGCACTGGAAGGTGTAAAGCAGCAAAATCTCCATGGTTCTGCTGATCAGGATAGTAAAAGTCCGTTGTGGTGAGCCCTCAAAAGGATCTACATTGCTTGTATGTTATAGAAGTTTAATCTGTTGCAAGATGACAATGGTTTGGGGGGGCGGTGGCCTGGCCAGTAGTATCACAATTGCTCAGCTTCACTGGCCAAAACTCTTTGCCTTGGAAAAAAAGGTAGCATAGTAGCTGCTACTACACTCAGTAAGAAGTAATATGTGACTGCCTTGTAGAAAACAGGATACTGCGCAAGCTGAGCGCTGTTGGTACTATAACTCAAAGGATAAAGCTTGACCCAGCTGCTCCTTAAGTGCTCAGCCTCATAGGGTATGTCTACACAACAAAGAGAAATCTGCAGCTGGGCTGGTCCATACCAGCTAATTTGGACTCAGGCTTCAGGTCTTTCATTGCTGCATAGGTTTCCTAGCTCAAGCAGAAGCCTGGGCTCTAGCTTCCTGCTCTGACATAGCTCTGCCTGTAATTATTACTTAAATCAGTAAATTACAATATTGAAATACAGACAGTGCTTTTTGAAGTACATATTTTCAAAATCATGTATCTTAAATGTCCAGAGAAGTGTCTTACAATATACATGGTTAATAAATTCTCAAATATGTCCAAGTTAAAAGGTATATTCAATTCTATATATTCTGTATATTCAAATGTGTCCATCTGATATGGTCTACTGAGTCAATTTAATTGATCAATAAAGCTTACCTGCATTGTAGAGGACAATTCAAGGCATACCCCCTTTATGAAATGAATTGACTTGGTTTCGCAAAATTCAGCTGCAATAGCAAAGGCATTTTTAAAGGATATGTCTGCGCTGAACGCTTATTTTGAAATAAGCTATCACAGAAGAAATGCTCTGAAATAGCTTATTTCAAAATAGCACATATACATTATAGAGAAGCCTCAAAATTAGTCCGAAGTAGGCTTCCCTAATGTGGTCAAGGCCAAGAGGCACTGGGGAATAATTACTTTGAATGGCCCTGGGGAGGATCAATGTTGAAATAGCAGCAGTGGACCATCCACACAACTGCTATTCCGAAATAGCTATTTCGGAATAAGCATTATTCCTCATGGAATGAGGTTTACAGATTTCTAAATAAGATCTCCATTATTTTGAAATTATGTTGAAATAATGGAATTGCATTGTTATTTTATAATCATCATCATCATTAACAAACATGGGCTCAACACCTGTTGGTGTCCAATGTCTCCCTCACTATTTCCTTCATCTTTCCCTGTCCAGTGCAGAGTGACTGTATATTTTGAAATACTATCAGTTATTTCACAATAACTGTGCTGTATAGATGCATCCAAAGAGTCCTGGGATTCGGTGCTAAGGATTTAGAGTATGAATGAGCCTCATCTCCCAAACCTTCCTGAAATACATGGACATACCAGAGCATGGGCCCTGATGAAGCAAAGCACTTAAGCACATGCTGGAGTCACATTTACTTCAGTTGGATTCCAGGAGGACTTCAACATGAGCTTAAGTGCTTAGATGAATCAGCCCATAAAGATTTCCTGGAAGGGGAAAATCACTCTGGCTACGTCTACACTGGCCCCTTTTCCGAAAGGGGCATGCTAATTTTCCAGGTCGTAATAGGGAAATCCGCGGGGGATTTGAAGTAGGAATAAGAGATCCTCCGGAAAAGGGCTTTTTTCCGGAGGATCGGAAAAGAGCGTCTACACTGGCCCTGATCCTCCGGAAAAAAGCCCTTTTCCGGAGGATCTCTTATTCCTACTTCAAATCCCCCGCGGATTTCCCTATTACGACCTGGAAAATTAGCATGCCCCTTTTGGAAAAGGGGCCAGTGTAGACGTAGCCTCTTTATTTGGAATTCTTCTGGTTTTGAGACAGATTTATTGATTATTGTTAATTGTAAACAGTTGATGTCTCTATTAGGGATGTAAATAGCATAACAAAAATCATAAAAAGGACTCCTTTAAACTATTAAAATTACATTGTTTAACTATTTAATGGTTAATAATTTCAGCCAGCAGAATGGGGCGCAGCACTCTCTGCAACTGGAGGAGACTACTTGTGAGTGTTTGAGAGAGGCCCTGGGAATCCAGGGCAGAGTTGGGGGAGGGGAGGGCACAACATGTGGGAGAGGCAGGGGGATGCGTGCAGAACTTGCTTGGGTTGTTCTGACCTTTCCTGTGCTTCCGCCTTTCTCACTCCTCTTTGGTTTGTGCCGGAGGATGGCTACTGCAGAGTGGGGAAAACTGGAGCAGACTCTACTAAATAGGGACATCCTGGCTGAAGTTTCACCCACCCTCCACTTCGTTAGGCATGTGCTGCCCAGCACGTATCCCCACAGCAACCAGTGCTGCCTCCCTCAGGTACCCACTTCCCAGAGAGGGAGAGGAGTAGCAGGAGGAGGTGCTGCTGGTGGGGAGCGGCTGGTGGAGGATGGGGGGTTTGAGGAGGGAGTTGAACCACAGCTGATTTACCAATCTGTTGTTAATGTTAACTGCAATACTTTAATGGTACTTATTGGTTAACTGTTTAACCGTTTAATATTTTACAACCATAATTTTTATAGAAGCATACGTGTATATCTGTCCCTCAACAGGATTAGTTTACAAAGTTTAGCCTCAGAAAAATAGAAGGTATAGGTTCAGGCCCATCACCAGGAGAGTAAAGGGGGCAGAAATTGGGGCGCCCAGCCACCACTGCTGCTACTGCGGCAGCAACTGAGGCCCTGGGCCTCTTTTAATAAAAATCGTCTACCGGATGCTGTAAGGTTACAGTCTTTGTCAGTAAATATAGTTTGCTGTAAAACTCATAAAGAAATTCAGAGAGAAACCTAACTCCACAGAAGACAATGAGAGTTTTGCTTTGTACTTCAGTGGAGCCAGGATTTCCTCAGTGTTTTTAGTCTTTACATTTTCAGAAACTGGCCTCTTGTTATCTCATGTTATATTTTTGCCCTCTATTGAGTTAATAACCTTTTTCTGAAAATTGGGAAGGGCATTGTTTTAGCTGACAAGGTAAATAAATTTGGATTACAGATCTTATAAAACTAGCCATATTTATTGCCTAAGAATTGTTTTTTTATAATTGAACCATCATGGTTATTCAATATGTTAGCTTCATTCCTTATTACACTGTTCCTCTCCTGGGAAACTTGTGTTTTTGTTGTGACATACTGTAGTTCTTAGAGATGTTGATTTAGCATCTGATCAATACTTGTCTTGTCTATTTATATACCTTACATGTAAAGCACAATACAGTGTTAACTAGGTTTCATAGGAGGAAATAATATTTTGAAGTCGTAGACAGGAAACTAGCCTAATAATGGACTTATAATAAGTACTTACATTTAAAATAAACATTGATTACTTTTCATAAACAAAATTATTTTATATGATATCAAGAAAAAAGCAACATCGTGCTGTAAAATAAAATGTTGTTATTTCTTTTCTTCTAAGACATCACATGTCATTTTAGGTATTGTGGCATCATGTGAATACATTTAATAACAAATTAGAAACATTGTATAGCAAGTCCCAGATGATGTTCAGGACAGAAATATTTTTACAGAAACTTAGATGCTCTAGTAAAACTGTAATCGCTAAGCACTAAATTGTTGGACAATGAAAACATTGTAAAGAGCTTGGTATGAGAAATCCTAACTTTTGTGACAATCTGCATTCAAAGGTAATAAATGGAGAAATCTATTTTTCTGTTTAAAGTGAATTTAGTACTGCATAAAGATGCTGCACTTACAGACCTATAGTGTGATGTTCTCTGTACCAGAAAGAAAAAACCCTTGCCTTAGGATGAAATGGCTGTTCAGTCTCCATACCAATTCATTTTGTGACCTATTTTGAGACGAGACTCAAGGATATTAGCCCAACCAAATGAAAGCTGACGGGAGATATGACTGCTTCCTATAAATACATCAGAGGGGTAAACACCAGGGGAGGAGAGGAATTATTTAATTTAAGGGCCAGTGTTGACAGAAGAATGCATGGATATAAACAGACCATCAAGAAGTTAAGGCTTGAAATAAGATGAGGTTTTTAACCATGAGAGCAGTGAAGCTCTGGAACAACCTTCTAAGGCTAACTGGCTTCAAGTCTGAGCTTGATAAATTTATCAAGGGGACGGTACAATTGAACTACCCACAATGGCACGTGGCCCCACTCTGACAGCTTTAACACAAGATGGGAAGGTTCAGAAGGGTATCTGGGTAGTCTGTAACTGGAAAAACTTAAAAAATGACAAATAGTTTTGCAGCAGCTTAATTAAAGACTAACAAAACACGTAGATGGTATCATGAAAGCTCATTATTCCATCTACATATTTTGTTACTCTTTAAGATGCTGCAAGACTGTTTTGTTGTTTTTAAAGTTTTTTTTCTAGATGGGAAGGGTTCTGGATTTTGCCAACATTCTCAGGATCTAACTGACCACAATATTTGGGGTAAGGAAGAAATTTCCTTCAGGTCAGATTTCCAGAGTCCCTGAAGGTTTTTCACCTTCCTCTTCAGCATTCATCATGGGTTACTTTCAGGTTTACACTAGATTAAATGGTGGATACTTTGTAACTTGATTTGATTCAGAAAAGTTGCTTAAGGCTAGTACCTTTTTAATCTCTCTTTGCAGCAGAGAATTAGAATACGCTGATCTCAAAAGATATACGTTTGGCCAGATTCTGCACTTGGATACGCACATGAGGCTTCCATTGAATTAAAAACTGAATTTAACTTCTACAGCAGCCCTGTGCGTGTGCATTTGAGGGCATTTGAGTCTATTTAAGTCTATGTAGGTGGTAAGATGGTCACAAGCAAATAGTATATCTTTTAATATAACCTGATGTAAATGTATCCATCTAGGAAAAAAGAATGTAGGCCATTTTATGGTGTGAGGAGGAGCCTCTATC